CATTAATGAAAAATTTTTTGAGGCTTCAATTAGAAAGTCATTACATTTTAAAGCAAAATTGATTTTCTTTAAAAGTGATGAGCGTACATTTAAGTTTATTTTCTGCATCATTATTTACTAAACACACAAACGATGCGGAATATTTACATCATTTTTTACTGGCAAATTCCTTTGCATCATTTTTACTAAACAAATAAATGACGAAAAATCTTTGCATCAATTATTTATAAATTCTTAATTAAGTTCTATGAATAGAAATTAAATTTCATATTTTATCATCTCATTCACAATGTGCTTATTATCTTAGACATTGTTCTAATTAATTTTAATTTCAGCACATCAGCAAATTTAATCTTAAACCAGTATGTAAAGATATGTCAAATCCTTCTAATTCCCATTGTTCTCATATCTCCACTTTCTCAGAATAAAACACAAATGAAACAAAAACAAAAACCTCAATTCAGAAAGCTACGAGCAAGTCATGCATGTGATTATTTTGTTAAATTTTCACCACAAAAACTTAAAGAGAAATGCGTTAAAATGACTTTGCAAAAAACCAAATTTCTACTCAACTTCTTCTTTGTTGCACAGGAACTGACAACAAAAAACTTGAAGCCTTTTTCCATCCCTTCTTTCATTATTATCAATTTACTTCATTAAAAAGAGTACGAATAAAGTTTCTTTTTACCGCAATCACAGTTCCTAGCTTGTTTATCAAAACAAATTGCATGAGTGGATTTTGTTTGTCCAAAAGCTGCAAAGAGTTTAAATTAAATCATCGAGGGTGTGTTTAGTAAAAAAGAAGCGAAAATTTGCATCAATAGTGTATTCAGTAAAAAAAGATGCGAAATAAACTTTCGAATATTTAAGAAAGGCGTTAAATTTTTAAGATTTTGAATTTTTTAAGCAAATCATTATTGGATGTTTCAGTTTAAGACCATAGAAATGCTTTCAATTCACCTGCTCTAAGTGACTTCATAACTAAAAATTTACTACAATCTTACATAACAACGTTCACTCCTGTTATCATCTCGACATATTTTTGTTGAAGAAATATATATATTTATACACACGAATACAATAATGTATAAATATAAATTATGTTTTAGGCACTTTGCATAGAGATAGAGAAAAGTATACGTACATAGTTGAGAGAAAATAGATAAAAGAGTTGTGAGTAGTTCATTTTCATGAATTGAAATAAATTAGGTTCAACGACGTGGATTGAGAAAAGCGAAGAGGAATAAAAATAATAATGATGAATAAAAAAAAAAGTGGCATCAGCAGCAGCAAAAGAAGCATGAATACAAACTAAAAATGAGGGAATATAAAATAAGAAGACAAATTGGAGGAAATTGAGTATAACAAATTTTTTTTTTCTAGTTTGTTTTCGTCATCATTGAAGCAAAAGCAAAAGGAAGAGATTGAATAGAAATGCAATCGACCATGCAACTTCTCATTTCATTCATCAATTGTTCTCTTGTGACTCTTTCTTTATTTCTTTCCTCCGCTTACATGCTTTTGCTTCTTGAAAATGAGACATTGGGGTGTTGTCAGATGCTATAAACAGTCGCAATCATAGCAGTAAATTATTTATTACCATACATTTATGTTATTTTTCTATAACACCGTCATCAGCACCGGCAACCCTAAGTCGTCTTTTTTTTTGCTATACGACATGAAGCATAGGAAAGAAAATGAATGTAAAAAAATCTTGTTGATGTGTGCTAAATTGTAAGTGAACTGGCGTGAATGAAAAGGAAAAAAAATAAATAGATTTATGTTAAAATGACATGCCATTGGAAATCTTTCATCAGATTTTGTAGCGTGCGGATAGTTTTTATTTCATTTTTTTTATGCAAGTTTGTTATTCAATACAGAGACTTGGTTTGTGTCATGATCTTAAGAATACAACTATTGAGGTTAAGACTAGGGCATATTCAGAAGGATTCCTGTACTTCCTTATATCATATGACTACATATTTTCATTAGATCCCAGCGGAGAGTAGCCAGGAATTTGAAGAAGGGGGACAAATTTTTTTTTGTATGTAAAAATTTAAGGGGGGGGGGGGTATTTTTGTGATTTTTTCCTAAAAACCCTAGGGGTCGTTCACTTATGACGTCCATCAAAAAACCTGATTTTTAGACCCCCCCCTCTGTCACAAAAATTCTATACAAAAAATTTTCCATTGATTGAACTGTCACAAAATCCTAGACCCCCTCCCCCCTGAATGTCGGACGTCATAAGTGAACGGCCCCCTAGCAAAATAAAGGAATTTTCGTTTACGTTGGGGGATTTGTCCCCCTAATCCCCCACTGGCTACGCGCCTGGATCCTAGGTAGACTGTCTACTTTATCAGAAGAGTATTAACATTTAACCTTAAATACCTCAGAAAAAATCTTAATGCTCCAATTTCCACAGCACAATTAAATCTGCAAAAATTATCTCGAAGGGCACATCGTATTGAAAATAGTAAGAAGTAGTAGAAAAATCTATGAATGTAAGTAGTAAAATTGTTAACGATATAATAAAATATTTGTATGTAGAGAGTGAAAATCGTCTTAACGGAATGATGTAATCAGGTTACTTCTTGTTTTCTTTTCCTTCCTTTGTTCTTTACCCCATTCAAAATAACTTTCGTATTGAATGTGGGAAAAAAGTAGAGACGGAGAGGAGTGGGAGTGAATGATTCGCAATATTAGACTATTATTCTTAGTGTTATTACTTAGTTAAGGTTTTTATCTTAGTTTTTATGTATTTATATAATTCCTCGTCCACTCTTGTTTTATTTATTTTATTTTTTTATATTTTTTGATGAAGTCAGCACCATTTTTATAACCTTTTTTTTTAAAAAAAAAATCTTGGATCTATTCACATTATTTATATTTATTTACGTAATTTTTATGATACACGTTTTTTTTATTAATTGATTGAAACTAATGATTTTATCTTACAAGAAATGTTTGTAAAAAAAAAGAAATATCGAAAAGAAAATTCGTAAGAAGTTGAAATCATAATGACAAGAAAGATTTGTGATGTAAGAAAATTGTAGACATCAGCTTAGATGCGGGGAGTCATCTGGATTTTATTGTTATACTCAGTTATACTTTTCATATTCAGAAAAGGATGAATGTGATAGAATGGGTAAAAGATACACAATCATATACACAACAAACGTTCATCCTGATAATTTATCGCTGCGATAAGCGTCTAAGCACATTTTCCCTCTTTTTGTGGTGCTGCTAATGTTATTGTCTGCCTATTCTTGGTCCAGGGTGGTTATTTAGAAATTGGGATATTGGTTCGAGGCTCTCTCAACTTTTAAATTTAATATTTTAAAAAGTTAATCCTTTCCTAAGCTCCTACCTACAACCCTGCTTTAGTCTGATGATTTCTGTGAGATTGTGCATTTATGTGATTGATCGAATGACTGGAGATATGTTTGTGCCATTTATAATTCTAGGGATTTCAATGGTGTAATGTTGATGAACTTGGAGAAATTTATCTTTGATTCGTCACTTAAGTAGACAACCACATAAATGCTGAGATGAAAAAAGAAACGTCGTTAAAAGCTCATTTGAGGATGGCATTTGCGATGCATGTACATTATTTACAGTTTTGAATGAAAAAATGCTCTGGATTTAACAACAATTCTCGTATGAACATATAGAACAATAACTAATGCAGCAAATCCATATATGATTCCCCACTTCATGCTGATATTGCTTGCCTACAATTTATATTCTCCCTCTCAGTCTCGTGTGTCTGAGAGGAATCCAAACAAAAATATAAATACAATAAAAAACGGAAATATGAGATGAAAAATCCATTCTCTTAAAAAATAGATGCCATTTTTAGCTGATTTAAAAAAAAATGCTGATGAATGAACTTTTTGCCTTTCTCTACATGATGATCATATCATTTATAAATTCATCTTATCCATTCATGCACATTCGATTCTATTCCGGAGGTTTATGGAATGAATGAATGGGAAAAATTTTATATATATTTCATTTTCAATGCAGTTTCCATTACAAAAGAGAAGGAAATGAATTTAAATTAAATTTGTGTAAAAATCCATGCTTGGATATGCATTTTCTTTACTAAACGAACGATATGATTCCGAGAGCTTAACCTGATTATTATTTTTATTATATCTATGCTTATAAATGCATTCATCGGTACTGAACTTTTTAATACAATTTTTTCATATCTCTATTATCAGCTATTATTATTTTTAATCTTATTATTTTAATTCCTCCACTTAATTTCTATCTAACCAATAAAAAGTTTTTTTTTTCTAGATTAAATTCTCTCAATTTGAGCGCCCTTTTGTTCGTGGAACTACCTCATTCACATTGTCTGTTTGTAATGGTTTCTTGGAATTTTACAAACTTTTCTCATATTAAACAAAGTTCCAATGAATTTTCCAACACGATTGATGATGACTTTGAGAGAAAAGTTTCATCGCAAATGTGGCATTGAACATTAAATTTTGTAAAATCGATTTGATTAAAGGAGAGTAAAACCACACTGAAAATTCAAAATTTTCTTCTTTTCTAGCTTAATAACTTAATTTTCTGATAGTTCTGAACAAAAGTGCGCCCTACTCAATTCGATTTTTAATAGCTAACATGTCTTATTTGATTTAGTGGTTCCCTTAATTGGGTGGTCTGATATAAATGTGGAGAAATAGAATGTAAAATGAGAAAAAGAGAAAAATTGTAAAATGACTATGTCTTGTGTGTTAATTTAGGGTTAGATGGAATTTACATAAAAAAATAAAATGAAACTTTTTTTTTCTCGTTTTTCTCTTATAATAAATTCATTAGGAAATTGTCACAAATTGTTTGATTAAAACTTTCTTTTATCGTTCTCTTGTCACTCCACCTACATAACAATGTAAGTGGGACAAGAAACAAGGAAAAAGAGTTAACAGAAATAAGTAAAAAGTGTATAAAGCTTTTCATTAAATTATTCTCATTAATATTGGATGATGTTTGATTATATCGTTACGTTACATTGAGTAATGTTTTTTTTTATATTCGTGAAAATATTTTCGATTTCGATTTTTTTTTAAACGTCGGTGTGTGTACTTGTTTTGGTCCAATTACCCTTATTGGTATTTAATGATTTCACGTAGTTATTGCTGTTGTTCAGTTCATCCGTTTCACTATCCTCAATTTCACAGAGTTTCACTGATAAATCACTTTGTGATTGATCACCATGCATGTGTAAAAGACTAGTGTGACCAAGAAGCGAACTGCTTTCACCTGCCATTGCCATGAATAAAAATAAAGTTTGCGATAAACGAAAAAAAAAAAGAAAAAAAAATAAATAAAGAAAAATTAGAGGAAAGAATGCGAAAATGTCAGCAATAAATCATTTTGTGAGTATGAAAATGTAGACGTTGACGACACAAATACATCCATATATTCACAAAATAGAAGGAAAAAAGCTTTCATCAATTGATTAAGCGTCACTTTGATATCAAAACTTACCGCCTTTGTTTAGTCCAAAATCACTATGTTCAACGCGATTACGTCGCTTCTGACTCGGAAATCCATATGCAGGAACGTCGTCTTCATCAGATTGAACGATTTGGTGTGGTCCGATGTCAACGCCATTTTTCATTAAAATTCTTTGTCCCATTCGATTACTGCCACTATTAAGTCCATTGCCAAGGATCCCATCATTTGATTGATTCAATGGTATGCTTTCGCCATCCGTTTCACTTTGTATGTTGTATTTTGGCAAATAACTATTAGGATGTCTCAAATATGATTCAGCTAAAGGAGGCACAAGCATCAGCAAAATAGGAGGAAATAAAAGAATTGTTATTATTATTATTTTAATGTCATAGGAAGTGCAAAACAAACAGAATCAACATGAAGAAGGATGGATATTGACGTGTATCACAACAACAGCTACAACACAACAAACAGAAATGAACAATGAATGGAAGGGATAGAAAGGATGAGAAAATTTTCAGGTTTTTAATTAATTGTTTCATCAAATAGCTTCGAGCTTATTCAGCGAATGAATGACTGAATTGAAATACAAGCAAAAGTGGAAATGATTCCACAAACTGCATAATGAAATGCAATTTCCAATTGATTTTGAAATTTATTTGAGTATGGATTCTAATTTTGTGAGCGTGTGATAGATTTTATGTGCGGTATCAATGGTGGTTTCGTTTGAAAGTGTGTCTACATTTAGGGATATGAAACATACATCTAATTTAAAACATTTTCATTATCATACATACGTGAATGGTTTACTATTAAAGGCACTGCATATATAGTTAGTGCAGATTTCGTCATGAATTAGTTTAGGCAATAAATGATACAAAGAGAAATGAAATTATCAATATTAAATCTATTTTCGAAAATTTAATACATCAATAACCCACATTGTATGTTCAGTATAAATTCTACTAATGGATTTAAATTTGAAAACGCCAATGGCAACCGATTTAATGTTTAAATCAATTTTTCAAAAAGTCACTTAGTTCTAAATCCATTTTATATTCACATTTTAAATTAAGTTCTGTTTGTAGAGCTTCCAATGTTTCGTAACTTAATAGCCACAAAACAATAATTAATGAACTTTAAATTCTCTCATGTAAAAAATTAAGTGTCATTGCTGTGTATCGCGTGCATATTAGAGTAGGATATTTGTTTTTCCAGAGTAATATGCTATAGTCCAACTATGGCTTAAATAATTTTGAAATAAACTTTATGAGAAAAGTTTTTAAAATTTTATAAAATTAATTTTGATAAATTTAAAGTTTGCAGGATTAACCACAGAGTAAGTTTTAAAATATTCTCATACTTAGACAAATTTTATGATAATTATTTGAACTCGGGGTTGTAGCCAGGGCAGTCAACAATCCTCAAATATGCTTAATCAAATTTCAACCCCATTCATCTAGCTGCATCTCTGGCTAGACTCTTGAGTAAACTTGACAATTTCACTTGAATTTATCGTGTGAAAATTATGTACTTTAAAGTGACTATAATAATACTTATTGCATTGCATTATTATACAGTACTTTTATTTGAAAAGTTCGTGTCGAAAAACTTCTTATGGAAAGCTCTACATCTCGTCCAATTATTTATTTTTGTTATATAAACTATCAAGAGAGAAAAGTTTGTTTTTTTATGGATGGAACCTTAATCAAGCTTTATACTGTACATAAAATTTATATTTCTTTCCTCCCATTCATCCACTCTTTTTTTTTTGATTTCTCATAGAATGTCAATCCATATCCAATGTGAAATTCGGTCAGTAGATATAAATATAGAATTATTTGATTTTGAAGACAGAAAGCAAGGACAAGAAGGAGAGTAAAAAAATGTCGTCATACCTGTATTAAATCTATAATCCTCACTGCCACTGTCTAACGGATTTAGATAGGTCATCGAATTGTCAAAGTTTATTGATAAAGGCTGTTCGCTTCGGTCGTCGGACAGTTCAGGAAAATCTAATTCGATATTTTCATTTAAAGTTTCAATATCACGTGAAGGATCCATTATCGGTAAGCTTTCCATCATGATGCTTGGTATATTGTTTCCATTATTTTTATTGGCATTCGATTCATTGCTCTCGTTACTATGAAAGCTTGACGAATCAATCACTTGTTCATTATTGCATGGTACTTCAGTGATATTTGAGAGAACATTCAAAGAGCGTGGTTTCCAATCTGAAACATCCCATTCGTACGCACCAGTTTCGGTTCCGCCAGCATAAGTTGCTGCAGGAGATGGAAGCAAACGACCCTGTAATATTCCGCCTTGTCGATATTGACTGGTCGTTTGTTGATGATGATGATGAGGACTTAATCGTTTATCATTATTTATTTTCGTCTTATCGCTAAAAGTCTGCAAATGAATCTGATCCCATTTTTTATTTGGCTTATGCGACGATGTGTCTGTATCACTTGAGTTGCCTGTGGTATTGTTAATGTTCACTATTTGTTGGTTCATTGGATTTCGATTAAGTTTTCCGTACTCAGGTACTAAAAAGTTTTCCAACTCATCACCCGCTGAGCCGTAATTTCTCAATGTGTCTAGGTTATTGTACTGCATCACTTGATTATAAATGACATTATGATGATCTGTTGTCGCATAAGATGCTGGTCGTTGTTGATTTTGTACTTGTTGTTGTTGTTGTTGTTGCTGCTGCTGCTGTTGCTGTTCTAAATTACTCATTTTTGATACACGCTTATAATCTGAATTTAAAATTGGAGATGCGGCAACAACATTGTTTTTCACACCGATACGCTCTTCCCTTGATTTTCTTCGTCGCCTGCAGCAACAACACAAGCAGCACACTATTAGTATAAATAAGAACACAATGACAGCGGATATGATTATAATTTTGAGTTGAAGACTTGTGTTGTGTATCAGATTAGAGATATTGAACTCTGAATATAATGGATTTCCACAGCTTGCACCAGTCATGTGAGATGGACAAATACATCTAAATGAACCGGCTTCGTTCAAACAAGTTGCGCCATTGCCACAAGGTTGATTTTCACATTCGTCTACGTCAATTTCACACGTTTTACCCATGTAGCCTCGACATAAGCATATTGGATTATCGTCGCCTTCCTCACAAAAGCCTCCGTTTCGGCATGGATTAGGCAAACAAAAACGTCCAAAGTCACATCGCTTTCCTGACATCTTTGCTGGACAGTCACATGTATAGTTTCCATATCCTTCATTTCGACACTTACCACCATACAAACAAGGGTTAGATGAGCACGGATCTAAATCTTCGTGGCAGTTCTTGCCCGTAAATCGTTGATGACAAGCACATTCATATTCAATACCGTTATTGAATTCTTTACATGTTCCACCATTCAAACAAGGCTGATTACCACACACACCGAGTGGAATTAAAGCATTTGCAGCATCACAATTAAAGTCTACATTTGCGAACCGCTTTAGTACTGCAACGGAGCTACTGGCAGCAGCGTTCATCTGTAATGGTAGGTGTGCACGCAATAGCTTTAAATCATCCATACATCCGATAAACCCTCGTTGTATATCTTCAATGCCAATAATCGTTGGATGTGAGCGCACTTCAGCACCGAAATATAAATCATGTGATTGTAAATTCAATATTCCATTTACGCCTGGTGCTATGCCTGAGCGCGTATGTTTTCCATCAACAATTAAACGCGCACTGTTTCCTAGCCTCTCAAGTTGAATTTCATGCCACAATCCATCTGAGACATAAATACTGCTAACACTCACTAATCCCTCACCACTGCCCAAATCAAAGCGATACTGTACAATGCCGTTTTGTATTTCAAGAATATTATAGTCGATTTTTCCTGCTGCGTACAGCAAATTTCCTGTTGGTTGAACTGTACGTATTCGCAATTGTAATTGGATTTGATCCTCAATTGCCTTCTTGGCTAGATTTTTATCGATTTTATAATGAGCATAGCTTTTTCCACTGAACGTAACTGGGTTCTTTGGATTATAGCAGTTCTCTTCGTTACATTTGCTTGTTTCTTTATCGCAATTTGCTCCAAAAAATCCATCCTCACATACACATCGGAAAGCATTTGGTTTTAATGTCTCGTCGGGAATACACTTTTTGGGTGGCTTGCATGGATCTTTTGCGCATTCGTTTATCATGAACTGACATGAATCGCCTCCATAACCATTTTTGCATATACACTCTGCCTTATGCTCATATTGTGCAGATACAAAACTAAAAACATCAGTTACTATGGGAAAAGATTGTCTTCCATCCAATACAACTTTGTCTTCACATTCTCCGTTAACACAATAATGTTGCAAGCATTTTGCTTTTACTACTTCCTCAATTTTGAGATTTGTTACGTCTTCTATTTCCTCTAAATTTTCGTCAATGAATTTGCGAAGCTCATTTGGAGCATAAAAATTATTTGCATAAGTCGTACCGTGATTTGTATTTGACTTTCTAACGGCAAATAAAACATCCAAATTTCGAATATGATGTGCTTCACGTACTTGACGCTTTTGTTGTTGTTCCTGCTGCTGCTGCTTATTTTTTAACGCGTCACTTGACTTTTGTACGTTTATTAAAATAATGTCCTTCTGACGACAGTGAATCACTTCCTTAAGTGCCCGAATAAATAGCTTTCGTTTACTCAAAATGAATTCTTCAGGACCGATGTTTTTCACTCTAATTGAAATGGCATTCTGTAATGTCTCTTCTGTAACCATTTCGACTGACACTTTAATTATAGTTGATGATATATATTTATTATCATCCACTGTTACGTTTATACGATAATCGCCAACATCGAGACGTGGAAAGGCATACAATAATCCATCTTCTTTTGAGATATTAAATAAGGCAGTGGGTTGATAAGAAACACCATTAACTGGCGCCAATCCAAATGTAAGTGTATCATATCTATCTTGATCTGTAGCGAAAATTTTTCCAATTTGTCCGCCAGGAAATTCATCATTAAATGAATTTATGAATATTTCTAATGGCGTTATATATGGCGGATATTGACTTTCTTCTATGACTTTCACTAATACATCGGCATCACTGTATAGAACGGGAGAGCCATTGTCGAAAACTCGTATTTTCAAATTATATGTATCCTTAATTTTGTGATTGAAGCGTGTTGCCGTTTTTAACACACCATCTTGCTCGTCAATACGAAAGGCACCATTTTCATTACCCGCAATGAATTCAAACGTAAATGGATCTGAATTTGGTGGAGCATCGTTATCAATTACTTCAAACTTGATTAAATGGTGACCAATAGGACGATTCTCTTGTACATACACGGTATAATTTCTTTGTGAGAATGTCGGATAGTTATCATTCGCATCACTAATTTCCAAATTAACAAGCACGACTGTCGATAGTTCAGGAAAGCCGCTGTCTTTGGCAACTATCTCGAGCACATAATTTGATATACTCTCACGATCTAGTTCATTAGCTACGGATATGTAACCCGTCTCCTCTTCAATATTGAATTGGTTCATGCGGTCACCCCGTTCAATGTAGTATCTTATTTTGCCGTTTTCATTTGAATCCATATCGTTAGCACGTACTTGTAGAATTTTATCCCCAATTTCGGCATCCTCTCGAATTCTTGCTTGATATGAATTCTGTGTAAATGTTGGAGCATTATCATTAAAATCTGTTATCGAAATGTTCAAGGATGCTAATGTTGAAAGGGGTGGTTCACCATGATCTTGAGCTTGAACAGTAAGGAAGTAGTCCTTAGATTTCTCATAATCCACTGTGTCCGCAAGTGATACTAGACCACTCTCTTTATCGATAACGAACTTTTTATGGTCATTTCCACCGATAATTGTATAGGATATTTCAGCATTTACGCCTATATCCTTAGATGTAGCATGTAATTTTATGATTGATGTACCAATTTCAGATGACTCACAGATGGTAGATGAATAGTGATTTGATGTAAAAACAGGTGGAGAGTCGTTAATATCCTGAACATTTACAACTAGATTGATTGTTGAATGTAGTGGCGGTGCACCCATGTCTGTCGCTTTTAATGTTAAATTATAATGTGCCTGTTGCTCTCTATCCAAAGGTTTCATTAATGTTACAATTCCACTCTCGGGCTCAATTTTAAAGTGATCTTTATGGGAATCAATAAAGGAATATCTGATTTTACGATTTATTCCTTTATCGTTGTCAGTTGCCAAAACCTTTGTCACAAGCGTCCCAACTTCTGCATCCTCAGGGATAAAAACACTATAAGATTCCATTGTGAAAATTGGACGTTCATCGTTCACATCAGTAATTGAAATCTCAATGAGACTGTTACACTCCCATCCAGAATGATCTCTATCTTGAACAAAAGCTGTCAATTGATATTTAGATTGACTTTCTCTATCCAAACGTCGAGATGTTCTTAAAATACCCGAGTTTTCATCCAAATGGAAATTATCTGCTCCATTTCCGGTGAGATAAAAGCGGAGGCGGGTATTTGTTGGCTCATCGGCATCGCTATATAAGATCTGTAACACATGTGTATTTATTTCGACACTTTCACTTAATGTCTCACGATATCGATATTTAAGACAAATCATTGGATTATCATTCGAATCTTGAACAGTTATAGAGATGTTTGTTTTGTCAATGAACTTGCCATCTGTTACAAGAACTGTAAGTTCGTATTTATCGATTGACTCTCGATCTAAAGGCTTTGCGATGTACAACTCTCCACTTTGTCGAATTCTAAATTGCGAATATAAATCACCACCAATTATGTAGTAGTCGACATTCGGTTCCTTTTCATCGTCATCCTTGTCCGTAATCTCTAGCTGTAAAAGTACGGTACCAGGGAGAGAATCCTCACTTATTGTTGTCTCGTATTTATGTTGTTTAAACACCATGGGATTATCATTATATCCCTTGACTTTTATTACTACCGTTGCCTTTGTTGAATGCTTAATATCATGTCCATTGTCAGTTGCAATCACGTTAAATTTATATTCATCTTGATGTTCTCTATCTAACGGCACCAATGTCGTTATCCATCCCGTATAAGAATCAATATCAAAAATATTCAAAATATCACCAGCATTTTTATCCAGTGAATATCTGATATTTCCATTTACTCCACTATCTGCTCAGAGAAAAGACAAAACATAGAAGAGAAATTTTTTTTAGATTATAAACAGCATAAATGAAAAGCAAAGAAAAAGAAGAAAATTGTTTGAGAAAAAAAAAAACTTTCTCGTGCCATCTAAATTGTGTCGTGTTGGGGATATTTTGATGTTCATTCGTTTTTTTCTCTCGCTTGTTCTTATCATCCATTCTTTCGATTTTTCTTATTGTATTATTTGAAAGCAAAAGAGTTGAAAAATCTTTCTTTCATGCTACTTGCTAAAGATTTTTTTACTGTGTATTGTTATAGTGTGCTTGAACTCGGTCTGTCTTTCATACAAACTAGTTGCATAAAGGATAAAGAAATGTTCAGAGTAAATTGCATCAAATGAATGGCATAAAAGAAAATGGCAAGTGACAGAATGTCAATCTGTTGTTATTTCTTAATTTTCAAAGAATTTAATCAAATGCAAGAGCTGAAGTGCTTCATGATTGAGATTTTATTGCCAATTTGAATTTATTTGTATCAAGAAACATCCAGAAACACAACAAATCATGAATTGCGCTTCATTTCCGAAATTCATCAAATAAACATCCCAACTTTAACTAGTTTCGTCTTCCTTCAAGCAAAATCCACTTGTCGAATTTTTTTTCTTCTCGCTTTTATATCTGTTTTTCAATTACTTAAGGAAGAAGGAAGATAAATCTTCAGATATTTCAACTAAATTTTTTTTCCTTCTTCCTCTTTATTGAGGATTGAATGATTTTGTTGCTATTAGATTCCAATCCAAACTAATTGCGGTAAGGAAATTGACAATCTATAAAAATAATAATAATAAAAGTATAAATAGAATCAACAGTAATTGATTTCTTCATAAAGCTCTTTAAAGCTTTTCGGATTTTCGAGAGGATTTTTTTTTATTGGATGCTATGTCATGCATGCAAAATACTCATTGAAAATTACTTCTGAATTTTCATCATCAATTTCCAATTCTAATGTAATAAAAATCAATATGAATTAGATTTGGCAAGCCGGATGCGACAGTCAAATAATGTAGAAATTATCAATATTTAATTTATGTATATTTTATGGTCCGTGAATAATATTGTGAAGCTGCTTAGTAAATTTTGATACTATGAATGATAATTAAAGTTGATTCAAATTCTAGTAAAATCAGGTCCAGTTAGGTTCATTAATTTTTAATTGTTGATTGACATTCAATGATCTACAATTTGAAGTATTTGAAAAATAATTACGGATTGAAAATTCATTGTAAAATAAACTAGAGATCACTTAAAATCCCCAATATACAATGAGATTGGTCATTCATTGAGTTTACTCGTGAGGATGATTAGTTTGCTCTAATTTGAGTACGCAAGGAAAAGTTTAAAAATTCTTTTTGGGGCCGTTCACTTATTACGTTCGCATTTTAGGGGGAGGGGGGGGGGGTTGAAAAATTGTAACCAAATGTAACATGGGGGGGGGGGGTGTGTGTCAAGAAGTATGTAACGTTTTAATTGTCGTCTGTCTTTTAAAAAAAAGTTCACGAAAAAAATTTGTTTACAAATTCACACCAAAAACATTTTTTTTCCACCTTTTTAATGATTTATGAAAAATTATCAAAATAAAATAAATTATGAACGTTCAGGGGGGGGGGGGGGGGTTGTGTAACATATTGTAACGAGGGGGGGTGAAAAAAATCGTTTTTTTTGCGTAACTTAATAAGTGAACGGGCCCTTTAGAGTTAAGAATATTAATTAATATATCTGGCTACATCCAGTAGGAAAAGCAAGACAATAGCCTCTTATATCCCCATTATAACCTATTGTAATCTAATCCTTACATTGCCTACATTTTTTTTTGTCTGAAAATCCAACAATATCTGATTTCCCATCGATGAGTCTTAATTATCTAAACAATGAACTAATTGCTTGTTATTTTCAATATCCACATTACATTATCGTGTCTATTCCTTGTTATTGTTTATTCTCATTGTAATGTTCAATGACAATTAATTAACTTTCATAATTAGATAAAAATCAATATAATCATTAGACTATTAGGTTCTTGACCAAAAGAATCAACACGCATCAAGAGAATTTTAACACATTACATTGACATCATGTCACGCATTTGACTTGATATAAAAAAAAAAACTTTTCAAAGTTCAATGAGTAATGCCTTCATTTATATCGTCATGCGAATGAATAAATATCTTGAAACATATTGAATGTGAATTTTTTGGTTATGAATATTATCAATATCAATTCAATCTTAATTCATCTGACATCTTTTGATGCATTGATATCATTAATATAGGAAGCTGTATCGATAAATCATTCATGAATCGTCTCTCACTCCATCCGTTTTATCGCAGTAGCCTAACTTTGAGTTGTACAGACGAAAATTTCTTCTTTGCAGTTTTACTAAGAAACGAGATGATTTTCAGGGTGGGTGTAACGAGATTTTTTTAAGGCTTGATTGAATTCTTATTGGATGTGATTGTGAGCTTTTTGATTTTAATGGTTTTTCAGTGTACAATTTTAAGAATTTCAATAGAAACACTAAAACTGTAGTGTCTGGTCTGAACCCTATTTTTCCTGGGATATAAATTGCCATTATATAAGCTATTAAAAGCATCTGCTGACAACACTGCTTAGAAAGAAAAAGTGACGAAGAAGAAATATAAATAAAATCAACAAAATCCAACACAAGGCAATAAAAAGCAAGGGTCAGACACTCCAAAAGTGTTGTAATGTATTGTACAAAACTCTTCAATACATATGAAAGTATATACAGTTTTATATTGTCTTAGAGATGCAGTTATTGAAAATATGTATTTTCAAAAAAAAATGCTAGAAAAACCATTTGATAAGTTTATTAAATTTGATTCCTTCTTAATCGCCTTCTTGTCAGAGGTAAAAAAAATTCAAATCGTCAAATTAATGTTTGAATACACTTAAAACCTTATACTTTGATCAAAAAATTAGTATAAACGTAATGCAGTTTGCTATAAAGAGTGATAAAACTTGTGAAAATGAAACCAATCTATTTAATTTTGATTCCTTACTGACATTTAATAATAGTTTACATAATAAACTTCGTACCTGTACGAATTGTATGAAATCAATTCTTGATTTGCATCAGTCTAGCTTTACAAAAGAATTTTGAACTTTTTACCATTTTTATAGCCATTACATAATCAGAAATTCTCTCTTTTGATGGTAAACTGAAATTTGTGCTATTTTTTTATAAAATACCCCTGCTAATTTTCAATAATAATTTTAATTTATCAAAAAAATTGTTATTTATCAATATTTGTCAAAAAAAGTATTAAATTTGGTTTTTCAAATTGTTGAAAACTCAAAAAATATTAAATTTCTTTTAAAATTTGGTTCTTGAATAATTAAATTTCAGTATTGTAAGTATTGTAAAGTATTGTAAATTTATATGAAAAGTATTGTAAGTATTGTACAATACTTACAATACTTACAATACTTATATGGCAAGTATTTTAAGTATTGTAGGTATTGTAAAATACCGTACAATACTTTGGAGTGTCTGACCCTTGATAAAAAGAAAGCGCATTTTATGGTGAATGAGCAACGCGATTGAAAGGTAAAACTTTATCTCGTTGCTGAATTTGGGCGGAAATTTTCTTTTCCATTTTTTAAGAATAAGTTGATTTGAAGTCCCATCAATTTTCCAAAGCAAGACAATCTAAAGTCAATGATTTAATCGTCTTGAGACAATATTTAAGCATGTACTTTTCCCTCAGAGTCAAGCTTTAAATTTCTTGTTCCATGTTTAAACATTAAATCAATTCAATTTCTCTCTGACATGTCATAGATTAACAGACAGACATTTAGGCTGTTAAAAAATCATTGGGGAGATGCTGTAAAAATGCCACAAAAATAAAAGTCGAGGAATAAAATTCTGTTCTTGGGCATTTCGCAATATCCCCAAAAGTAAAACTCAAACAACTTACAAAGTGATCAAAAAATTAAATTACAGAAAATTGCGAGAAGGACGTTGCGAAGGAAGGAAACAAGTAGATGAAAAGAATATTTTATGAGAATATATATTTTTTTTGTGTGTGTCTGACTTACCAGCATCATGAGCATGAACTTTAAGGATTGAAGTTCCTTTTTCAACATTTTCAGCAACTGCTAATGAGTATGAATTACTTTCAAAAGTTGGCTTTTCATCATTAACATCTTGCACTCTCAGTTCTATGTCGGCAACAGCTGTAAGTGGTGGAGATGAATCCGTTTCAGCAAGTACACTAATGTAGTACAAATCCCTTCGTTCACGATCCAATGTTTTACCCAATTTCAACTCTCCATCTCCATTAATTGTAAATTGTGGATCATTGTAGTCGTCATCAACAGATATTATTCTGTAATTAGCAGTAATGTTTCCATTATTCAGCAATGTGAGACGACCTATCAGTGTTCCGGGTTCAGTATTTTCGGATATAGACCAATTTCGATCCTTTTTCTCAAACAATGGTGGAATCTCACTCGGTGCCATGACATAAACATTAATAGGCACGTCAGAATGTAATTCCGGAACTCCACTATCGTGTGCACGCACGAAGAATTGAAACATTTGATTTTCAAATTTCTCAGCATCAAATTTCAAATAAATGCCTCCGTTGTGTTCATTAATTCCAAACACATCCTTTATTCCTTTATTCTCCGAGTCATATATTGAATATTTCACGGCAGCATTCTGATTTTCATCAATATCAATTGCTTTGATCCGTAAAAATACAATGTTTTTCGTTAGATTTCCATGTATGACGGTATTATACTCGGTATTGAGAAATTTAGGTGGAAATTCATTCTCGTCTGTTACTGTTACACGTACAGATGTAAAACCTGAACGACCGCCCTCATCTGTTGCCATCAAAAGAATCTCATAACTCTTACGTGTTTCACGATCTAACATTATTTTTGTTGTTATATCACCCGTTACAGAATCAACATTAAATATCTCACGCATTTCATCAGATACAATTTTATAAGTCACACGACCATATTTTCCAAAATCATTATCATTCGCCTTTACAGATGCAACGAGACGACCAGCTAATTGATTTTCATTTACTTTTGCTTCATAAAAAAGTTGCTCAAAGAACGGATTATTAAGATTCGCTGGCAATATAGAAATTTTCACACGTGTATAACTCGTATAAAGTCCATCTGTTACGGATACGTTCAATAATGTATAGTGCTGGATCTCGCCAAAGTTTTGCATATTCATCAATGTTATAATTCCCGTGTACGGATCAATGTGATATGTTTGATTTTCATTACCATCGACGATTGCATAAATTAGACGATTTGAATCAATATAATCGGGATCATTGGCTGTAATAACTGTCACAAATTGACCACGAGTTGCTTCTTGCGATACTGCACAATCATATGATAATTGCTCAAAATACGGTGGATTGTCATTGAAATCACTGACAGTAACGAAGACATGAGCAGCTTTTTTTTATTACACAAATGTCATTTGAAGGAATGTTGATAATATGATGATAATGATGTTTGTAGATATACGCAGATAAATGTGTGTACGATGTAGGCGTGTAAAATAGAAAATGATGATGAAAAAGAATGAAAAGAGAAAAAAGAAAAATCACGATGAAAATGTGTACAAAAAAAGTTTAACTTTCATAAAAGACTATGATGATGTCGTCGTATAAAGAAGATATGTTGTTTCCTTGCAAGGATTTTGTTTGTTTGTTTTGAATTTTTCATAGGAATTTTTTAAATTTTATGGTTAATTACTTTTTATATCAAAAATTTCAAATTTTAAGCAACTTATAAGACTTTTTGTATAATAAACAGCTTTGCTCATTTAAAATTCATAAGAAGTAATGCTTTAAACTTGCCTAATGGATAAAGAAGGATAAGTTTTTAATTGAAAACTTCTCCAGCTGATAATTCAATTTTTCCCGCCAAAAATTTGAATTCTTTAAAAATTAATTACTATTAAGATTAAAATGATTACTTATTTCAAACTTATTTCGATGGAAATGAATGTAAATCTCCGCAAGGACAACATATCTTACACATTTATTATACGAATGACGCTGTTACATGTTGATAGCACAAAAGGTACAGACATGTAGATGCGAGCATGAATAGAAATGAAACTACACTTAATATTCACTTACTCGATGAAAGAGCTGGGCTTCCTTTGTCTATAACCTTTATTGTGAAACGATGATGCTGTTGTGTTTCATGATCCAAAGACTTTTTCAAATAAATTGTTCCCTCATCCTCGTCAATGTGGAAAAATTCTGATGAATTTTTGTTATTATCTGTCTGTATGGTGTAGGTTATCTCGGCATTAATTCCTGAATAAATAAAAAAATAAAATAAATGAGAAAATTTTAATATACGTGTAAAAATGTACAAGTTGAATGGGAAAAAAATGACGGGAAATGGAAAATGTGATTTTTCATGTATTTTTATGCAGATTAACAATGTCATGTCTCTATTTATATTATTTTATTTTCCTCTTTATAGACTTCACGGATATTATATTTAAAGACAGATAAAAAAAGGACCTGCCATACACAATAATATAATTTCCAGTATTCAACTGAAATGAGTTACGCAATTACTGCATTAAATCAATTAAAATCCGGACTTGGCTTCAATCAGCTTTACGATAATGTCGATTTTCAATTTGACTGAGAATCCTCATTAAATTTTCAATGAGTGAAAAGCATCAAAAAGATGTATGCTGAATTTTTGGCTTCAAATTAAAGTGCTAGTGGAAATTTGTATAACGAAGAAAGTTCTACGCATTAGATAATTAGCGAATGCTTTAAATGATCTTTAATGAAGTAAATTGGATGTGAGGTTTGACCTCCTGGATATGTATTAATAGAACTTCTTAAAATGCGCTGTTTCTTTTACTCTACTGTGACTATCTTACTTGATATACTTCCTTATTATAAAAAGCGATAAAAAAATTACGAATTAATTAAACTGTGATTAATTAGGCCTTGTAGGAGATTATGAAGTTCAAACAACCAAATTAAGTTTTGTTTTCCATCTTCATGCTGAAAAAATTTTCTGACGAGACTCGAAATATTTTAAATTCATCCTCGTCATGTTGTATATCTTTATGAAAAACTAGTATATCGGGTAGAAACCCAATGCGGATATATTCACACCGTACCATCAAAAGTATTATGGATAAACCAAGATTTGCTCAGCATAAGTTTAAAGGTATAAAGCTGGCGAGTAAGCTGAGCTTCGCTCAGCATAAGTTTGAAACTTTAAAGCTTAACGAACATTCTTTAAAAATTTTTTAAAAATTTTTTTCATCCAAAGTTGAATTTTATAAAAATCACAGTCAACTTTTTTTTGAAAAAATTCTTAAGAAAGAAAAGTTTTTTGCTTTCTCTGAAGCAACGGCTGTTCCTACCTTGCCTAAAAACAATACAGCTCTTCTATAGAGCAGCACGGATCAAATGTAAAAATCTAGAAGTCTCTACGATGTCGCATTATTGAGATTTCTTGCTGATTAACTTGCTTGCTTGTTTGCTTGCTTACAGAAAGCGTATTTTGCGATTTTCTCAGCAATGCCTCAATCAATTTGAAATCTGTTTTTTGCAGATGATGTGAAATTTCAGGCACAAACTTTTTATCTCTAAACCTGTCAAGCTATCTTGCTCCATTCCCTCGCAAAATTCGAAAACTGATTTTTCAATCTGAACAAAACGTGAATACGGTGTGAATATAAAAAAGTTTTTTAAATTTTACACAGCTTAAAAGGAAATTCTTTTCAACAGCTCTAAAAACAAAACAGTTAAAAAAAGATTTTATATAAAATTAATCATCAAAAATTCATTAAGCTCCTAAAAGCTCTCACGTTGAAGTTCAATAATAAAAAAAAAAACAATACTCAATGAAAAGGAAACTTCTTCAATGAATCATGACCTTTAATTATTTATTAATTAGTATCATATAAAAAATGTAAATTCATTATTGACCTTTTATGTTGCTTTAAACCCGAGAAAAAAAAACCCTAATCAGAGGTAAATCTCATTAATCTGTTAAGGTGATCAAAATAGCTCGAGAAGCATTTTATCCTCTTTTTCAATTTATCTCTATTATGTTACAGATTATGTAGAGGTAAGTAGAATTTATATTAAAATTTTCAACATAAAATATTCAAAATAGCAACCATAACTCCTCTGTAGGCGTAGATTTTACACTCATTGTGGGCTACAAATTGTAATGGAAAATTATAAATAATACACAAAATATATTTTTCTGCGGTAAGAGTGAAAATTCTCTCATTGTGTTTGATTAATGTAAAATGTAACCCGAGAAAATGCTTTTTGTCCATTTTTGCTGTGAGGTTATTAAAGTTTAATTATGCGGCTATTGAATTTTCACTTAATATTTTTAATTACAGTTAAGTTTTTGACTTTAACTGTCAAAATATTTTCGAATTTTATTCAAATCTATTCTTAGTTGAATACCCCTCTTTTGGCAATTTCAAAATTCAGCATTCAATAAAATTTACATTAATTTAATTATTAGACTCGCAGCAATGCTATTGAACTATAAATATGCGAAAGCACTAAGCAATATCTGTCAGACTAAACAGAATACGCGGCAATAACAATGATTTGAATATTTTTGAATTCAAATTCAAGCTCATCAAAATTCCTAGAGATTAATTCAGAAATTCGCTTTAATCTTCTTTGTTAAATTACTTCTCCAATGGAATTTCAACTGTAATTGCCTATTCAGCAATATAAAAATAATTTCGTTCTGAATGAAGTAAATAAAAATTGTTTCTACAATGTAAATGATGGAATGTTTATTAAATAATACCTAAAAAAGAGTCTGAATGTTAACACTCTTGTTTGGTAAAACCATAAGCAGTAATTGTTTCTCGAAAAGTAAATAGACAAGGTTCGAATTGTGAGTGTAAAAAGTTCATGATTTGTGTACTTTACTATGGAAAGGCAATTAGCAGAAAAACAAAAACTTTCTCTTGCTTGAATTTTCAATTTCGATTGTTTTTTTTTGCTAGCACTGCTGATAAAATAACCAACTTTTATTCCAAACACTTTTTTTTGGAATGGCAAAAATGAGTAATTAAATTTTGAGTTATTTTCTCACAAAAGATATGAAATTTTTTATTAAAAAATGATTTAAATCTGAATATGACGCATGAATACATGAGAAAATCACGTTGCCATGTTGCTTTAGTAACATAATCATTTTTTATTTCATATATTTATGTACATTTTATATGTGCGGGGAAACGATGACACAAAAGAGATGAAAAAAAAAACTTTTTTTCATTTTGCAACAGGCATGTGAGATTAATTTGGTGATGCGTATATAATTTCGTAGATATTATCACGAACATAAAAAAAATGTATACAAAGTATTTACCTATATCAGTGTCCTGAGCTGCAACTTTCAGTATAGGCGAGCCAAATGGAACCGACTCTGAAACAGTGATTTCGTAATTATCCTGAGGTAATGTTGGTGGTGAGTCATTAACATCCGTAACCACAATTGAAACAGGCACCTCAGCCGAGACGCCTGAAACGCTATCTGTTGCTCTCACAATCAAATCGTAATTCTGTTTTGTCTCAAAGTCCAACTCATCAACGACATAAATTGCACCTGCGAGGTAATGGTTATGGTCACACACACGTGTATAATTTATATTGTTGTGGCAAATCCAACGTGATCGTGATTTTTTTCAATTTAAAGAAGAATTAAGCGATGTCATTTGATATTAAGCATCAGCATCAGCAGCAATGGCATTTGGATAGACATGGAATAAAAGAGAAAGAAAAGAAGGAAATAATTAATTTTAAATTACCACCGTAAAGTGTTTGTTAGCAAAGTCTGTCGAGTGGTTTTCCTTTTTTTTTCTTGCATAATCATTCCAAAGTATTATTACTTTCTGAAGATAGAATAAGAGGTGGAGAGGAATGGACACTTTGGTTGAGGATTGAGGAAAACGGAAACGTAAATGATGATGAAACAAAAAATAAGAAAGGATTTGTGTGCAGAGGAATTAACTTCTGTTGGGACAGATTAAATAGACAAGGTAATGAATTTTCTTGCTTTATAAGATTTAAGCAGTGATGTCCAAACTTTTATTTTATGACACATAATCATATTTTATCTGTGAAGTTATTTCATTGTTACTTCTATTTCTGGACATTAATGGAAATATCCAATGCATTAATTAAAATGAGTTAAGTCTATACTCAGAAAGAATCATTAGCACAATTTAAAATTGTATAAAATTATTTAAAGTGATTAAATTAAATAATCAGATACAATTGCAGATTATCATTTAATCTGTTCCAAATTACTATGAAGCCATAACTCACTAAAGCGGATTAAAATTATGACATTCCAGGAATTAATGTTTTTTTTTTATCAAGCTTGAAATCGGATCAATTTTCCGAATGACACAAGTCGATTAATCAATCAGAAATCCAACACTAAGCTGGTGTGACTCTGGCATGGTGTTTGATTTAAATCGGAGTCAACATCATGCCAGCTAGAAGCTTAACCGACTTGCGCTATTTGGGTTTCTAGCAAAATTTTTTCATCAAATCAAAAAAAAAACCAGTCTTTGAACATAAACCAAATAAAGTTTGAACAGCTCTGACCTTAAAAATAAAAGAAATGCAGAACAAAGTGTCGATTCCTTGAATAATATTTTTTGCAACGTTCTTAACAAGCTATAGGAACAACAAGGCAGTAGTAGACACATAACAAGTATAATGCATGTATATAATGGTGCAAAGTATGAGATTGTTATAGCATCATTGAAAAGTATTATAATATCCGTTTCGTGCAAGCACAGCAATTCATACGTTATATGCTAGACACATATTCATTCAATTTTGTGCTTGAAGATGAAGCAACAAACTTATACATACATGTAAAATGTTAAGTGTACAGTGATATAAAGTGCAACATAAAAAAAGGAGAAAATGCAGTGGAAATTTAGTGAAATAAAAAATTTAAAACTTTAATTTCATCCCTCTGTAAATTGATTCTACTCAGAACTGAAGAACTGGAAAATTTTCAACAGACGAGAATCATTTTTTTTTGTTTTACAAGAATGCTTTAGAAAAAAGGAAGCTCTTTTCAAATGATGAAACCCACATAAAGGAAATGAAGGGAAAATTATTAATAATTATGATGACTAAGATGATGATGATGATGATGATAATAATAATAATGGTAAAGGCAGCAAGCAAGATTCACACAAAAAGCTGAAAGCATCCACGGTCGTCGCCTTTCCATTTTTTTCTTCAAAAGAAAAAATTTTTTAATTAAACTTTTGTGAAAGGATTGTTACAAGGAGATGAAGTGAAATGGATTGTCGTCTATAATTTATCCTTTTCCCTTTGTATTTGTATCTGTCTATAGACAACATAAAACCTGTGTATACAAGTATTTCCTTGTGCCACAAAGAAGGATTAAGCTGTTTACGGGATTTCTAGATCCCTACTCATTCCCTCCATTGAAAATGAAACGGAAGTAAAAATGATTTAGCAAAAATTCTTTCCTTTTACTGATATTGTATAATACTAAAACTCAATCCATTTTCCCCATCATTTTATTTTATTTTTAGCACATCTTTCTTAAACGTGGGTGGCACTCCTTTTTGCTGTTTATCTGTCTGTTTATAACATGAAATTTTCTCATCGGCAAAATCTGAATAAATTGTATTTTTTTAATGCGGATGTTACTTGTGCCTTCATTGAAACTTTCGAAGGGTTCTACAGAAAATGACAAGTGTGCTCTTAAAAACTTTCTCAGCATGTTGCAGAAATTTTTCAAAAAGGTAATTAAAGATTAATTTTAGAATCTGTTCATTGTTATTGTATTATCCTCATATTTTAATCGGTTGGCTTTAAAAAGCTTGTTCAAGCTTCTTAATTGATAAGTAGAAGGTCGACCCTTTTTGAAAATGCGTGTCAGGAGGTTTTTCATTGCTTGGAATGTTTACTGATTTAAAAGCTCTTTCTTCTGAATTTTTCAAGTCAACAAAAATTTAATTTCGTCACAAACTAAAGTCAAAAAGAAATTTCATGGCTTCACAAGCTTTACAATCACGACAAAACAAACTTAATACACGAAGCAATAAAGTTACAGTCTGAAAATCAAATAACTGTCACTTTTATTTACTCTCATAAACTCTTTTCTTAATTTCGTTCATTTTTATTGAAGCTGTATTGTATTTATTCTGGTAATTAAGCAATTTGCCATGAAAAGCGCTGTCGTAACTCATTTTCAAAAAGTATCTCATACCAACTTCAACTCTATATTTATGTATATATATTTTTATCATCATCATCCGTCTTCGACTGATGAAACTTCCTTAATCCATTTCTGTTGTAAAAAAGGCAAAGAATGAAAACAAAAACAAAAGAAAAAAAAAATGTGAAAAAAACAATAAAAAGCTGTGCAATGTTAAAAAGCTTTATGAACAAATTTTTTGTTTTCTTCTTACGTATTTTATGCTACTTTTACTGCTTTTATTCTTCTTATTTATTTTTCACACACAAAAGCAGCAAAACAGAATAAAAATGTTATATTTCGTTTACTTTTCACATTTCCTTCGTTTTCGAAATGTTGAAAAAATAAGAGCAGCACAAGGAAAGGACTTGTAGACTTTAAGATCAAACTTTAAATTTTTAACAAACTTTTAGAATTCGAAAGGAATTTCAATCGATTTACTTCATCGGAATTCGATGAGATCTGAATATTCATAGTTTTAGGTATACCCTTTGATTAAATTTTTTTGAAATTAAAAAAAATCTAAATGTAATTTAGGGGTCGTTCACTTATGATGTCCAGGGGGGAGGGGGGGGGGGGGGGTCAGACAGAAAAGAACAATAGAAATTCCTAGAAATCCATTGTTTGTTTTTGAAAAATGACTGTTAATTTCGGACGTCATATTTGAACGGCACTTAGATGATTAAACAGAAGCTTAATCAATAAGAAAGTTCAACTTGAATAAATAATTTGTAAAGTTGCATGTTTACAAAGAAATCTTTTGAGTACGCCTTGCATAGTTATTTTATACTTTAAAAGCTCTCTAGACATCAGATTCAGAAAGAAATTCATAGAATTTAAAGATCCATTAGCTTTATTATGATGATCTGTGAAAACTCTATTATTCATGATATCAAAGCTTGTTCCAAGATATATAGATGGGCTCATACAGAGTATACTTGACCATACTCGACCATACTATTTTTTGTGTACTTATACAAACAAAAATTTTTAAAATTTTCTATTTTCAAGTTTTCATTTAAATATCGACAGATGCAACAACATTTGACTTTAGTCAGTTACTTTTAATTATAGCAAAGCATTTGCAATACTCCTGTATCAACAAAACTTAACAGAAAGTTGAAAATTTTGCAAAACAAAAATTGAAAATTTTCTTTTATAGTGTTAGTGTTTTTAGAAAATTCAAATTTTTGACGTTTAAAAACTGCGATATTTTTGTATGAGCACATCTATATATCTTGGCTTGTTCTTAAGTAATCATCCCTTGAAGGCAAGTTTGTCAGAATAAAGAACAATTGTTGTGAAATTTATAAATCTCTTCAAACAAAAAAAAAAGAAAGAAATCATTCACGAGCAAGGGTGTGGTACTGATGAAGTGATCAAAAATGATTAAAAAATGATCAAAAAATTATCGAAAATGATCAAAATGACCAAAATTGATCAAAAATGATCAAAATGTAATTCTTCAGTTCCACACCCTCGTACACAAGTTTAATAGTCATTTCATTTCAAAAGCATACATACATCCACACAATAGTGGAAGAAGTAAAATATGGCAAGCGGCTGTAGAACAAAGCAATAATAAAAATCAGTGGATGAAAATACAATTTTCCTTGTTTTTTAAGTGTTATAACAACAAACATTTAATGTTAATCACATTTTTCAAATATTATAATAACACCAACAATAATAAACTCAATGAATGAAAAATTTATGTGAGCTTGAGCTATAAAATAATAATCACTTTATGAATTTTAGATTTAAAACATATATATACACTCAAAATATTCATGGAAATACAGAAAAGTCATTTTACGCGAGGTTGAGCGCATTTTCTAAGCTATTGAATTTTACGCGGAAAACATTTTGAGGTTCTTTAAACAGGTGGTGAGGGTTGGGAAATAAACCGAGCAATTTTTGTTGTGATAAAATTGCTGAAAATTGCCACACATGCCTTAAAATGATGAAGGATTTAATTCAGGGGAAAACAATTTGTGGAATTTTGTGACTTTTGAAATTGAGAATTTCATTGTATAAAGGTTAAGTGCCATAAAATTTAATTCAATGATTCTTGATATCTCGTTTAATTTAATTGCTAGGAATGTTGAATGTCTACGCATTTAATTTTAATTAAACAAGTCACAGACCAAACTTTTCTTAAGGAATAATAAACAATCATAAATAACATTTAATGCACACAGACAAAACGTTAAGAATTGTTGTGGAAAAACGCGAATAAACAAGCGGACGAACGAACAAGCAAGCAAGCAAGTGGTCGAAACAAAAAGCCACAATAATCGTGATGTTGAAAATTCCGTGGTGCTGAGCGTAAATTCATATAGATAGCAAGC